TGTAGGAGCGCCCGGAAAATCCGGTCCAGTGGACTTGAATGGCTTAAAGGATCTGACGGCCCATTTCACCTTTTCAGACTTGATAATGCTAGCCGCCAGTTCCCAATCGCACTCACGTACCTTTAATATGGGCTCCGCAGCCCACTCATCCGAGTCGACATCAGGTTCCCTTCTGAAGTCCGAAAAATTGGTCCCCAGGAGATGAATCAGACATTGCTCCCCCGAAACCACGTCCCCATCCGAAAGGTTTATTGCCTCCGGGTTTCTTACCAGTATTCTGCAGAGCCTCGAGGCCTCCTGAACCTCCATGGACTCGCAGAATCTCCTCTAGCTCTCTCTCTTGGCGGCTATTACAGAGTCCCTATAGATCTTCTGGGATTTCCGATAGAGATCTCAGTCGAACGGGCAATCCATGTTGCTGGTTCTGTTTCAAACACGCCGAGCCCCTTCCCTGAACCTCTGCAGTTCCGGTCTCGACCAAGAGACTTTCTTGATGAAGCGAACCACTCTCACTGGGCAGTTCATTTCATAACAATTTCATAACTGCCCGCTACAGCCTTTTGTAGATGATCTACGCAGAGCTCCATCTCCACATTAGTCCCGTGCCTCTTAGGGAAGCCACAGAGACCAGTGAATAAGTCTCTCCGAAACAAGTCTCAGTCCGTCCTTCTTGGATTTCTTCTACTGATTGTCTCAGGTCTCACATATTGAGCTTGAAAACAATCTGCTTGTGGTCGGAAAAGGAATGCTCATATGAGATCTGCCAGCCGACAACCTCAAAAACCAAATTTCTAGAACACAAGGTGAGGCCAAGCACCGCATCCCTTAGCACATTCCGGAATGTTGGGTCATTACCCCTATTTAGGATCTTCAGGTCAGTGGCCACCAAGTACTCCAGGAGCTTTCTGCCTCGGTCGTTGATATCGGTGCTCCCCCAAATCATGTGGTGCGCATTAGCATCGCACTCCACAATCAGCGACAGCCCGTTTCCCTGGCAATGTTCTGCCAACTTAACCACAGGTCCTGGCGGAAGCGAGCTCCCTTTCTCATTCAAAAAATATGCTGAACTCACCACTACCTTCCTGGTTTTACCTGTGTTGGATTTGATGAGATCCACTGTGATCCCCACAACAGCCCTGAAACAGAATTCCGGCATGAGCTGCGCTTCCAAACCCTTGACCACAATTACAGCCCTGGGATTAGACTCTGTGGCGGTTTTAAAAAATCTTCCACAGGCCGCAATGCTCCTAATGCAGCCCCTGTAAACCCAGGGTTCTTGCAGTAAGCAACTACTTGTATGTACCACAGTCATGCTCCTGGCCAGAACAGCCGAGGCGCCCTTGCTGTGGTGCAAATTAATCTGGGTGAATCCCACCTTCGCCATGTCCACTTTGTTGAGGACCTGACGCCGGCTGGGACTCTCCCTGTCACGCTCCCTCGCTACAAGCCCCGAGCAGGCTCACAGTGACCTGCTCGAGCCCATAGCTCAACCTGAAATCCTGCGCCCTCAACTTGAGGACACTGGACTTTGGGATGCCGAGAATGAGGTTCCTCCCCTCTGGGGAACCCTCTACATTCTCGGCAAAAGTTTGCCAGCTAGACGTGACGATGCCTGGACTCTGTCTCTCCAGCAATCCCAAGACCGCCGCTGCAGGCACCAGAGGACCTGAAACCCAGACAGCCGCCCTATGCCGCCTTTAAAGCGCGTCCAAGCCCACTATCCTAAGCTTGGCACCCTCCCAGGGAGAGATGTGCCCAATTCGCTCAGAGAGTCAATTGAGCGCCAATCTCATCTTCTCCCCTAATGACAATGGCGCCATTACGCAACACCGCGGTCCCCATGAAGCGTGGCAGGCCCTCCCGGATCCCCGCTAGCTCACTAACAACCGCTCTCCGTAGCAAGGTCAACTGCTCAGGAGTCACCGCCTGTTCGGGCTAATCCTTCTAGACAATTGCCTTCGGCAAGGGATCAGCGGCAGAGACGTAGGACCTAGTTCCCTGGGTCTCTTGTTGACCGTCTGCATCGAAGGAGGGGTATCACCAGAGCCCGTCCAGCCCCTTTTGCCGGTGTGCCCCTTTTCCGCCTGCTTCGGTGTTGACTCGAGGGCCGAAAAGAGAAAGGGAGCCGACCCGGTTAAGGCCTTCTTCCTGTCCCTCCTGGCTCTTCTCTTCTCGGCGCCGCAGCGGTTCTTTTTGCGAGAGACCGCTGCTTCACCGACAGCAGCTTTGTTCCCTTCCGGGCCCAGAAGAGCCCATCCAGGTGCCGAGGCCGCTCCCCCTGAGGGTGGAAGCCCTTGCGAGCCTTCACCCCCAGTCCCCCCTGACAGACCGTTATTTAAATTTAAGTTATCGACATCCATAATGGTCCCACGCAAAGCTAAGGAACATCCGCCTGGGCAGATTCCCGTATGCTAGATACTCTGGGGTTTTGCTTGGTACTCCAGAGGCATCGTTAACGACACTGCACCCCCAGTGTCACGCAACCTTCGCCACGATAGCTCCCAACTTGGCTTGGGAAGTCAGTCCGCGGCAGTAACCTTAATGGCCCCAGACAGGATTTTACGCCCGCACGGCCAGTTATAGCAATCGCTACCCTGGAGCCTGCTCGAGTAGTCAGAAGGACAACCCGGAGGTCATCTAGACGTTCTCCTATCTGCCACCCGGAAATGCGCCCGGTAAGCAGCTCAACCCACGGGAGGTATATTAATGTTATATAAATGTAAAAAGTTGAATATTACAAATAATATTGTGCATAAGTCTTATCGGTAATTTGTAATTTCCTACTCGTAAATATAACATATACCGTATTTACATATTGCAGTTATATCCTATGTATGAATAAAGATAAATTTAAAATATTTAGCCTAACACAATTAAATTTAAATAATTTAATTTATAAAGCTAAAGATTTTATTAATATGAAAATTATCTTTTGTATATTATATCTTAGATAAACAATAACGAACGATTTTTACTTATTTGAACAATTTTTGTCCGAATAAGTGAAAATCGGACATTTATCTGTCCAAAAATCATTTATTTTTCAAAAATCAGTTTAATATCTGAATTCTTCTGTATCGGGGATCGTATCAAAAATTAAATTGATATAAATAGTTGTTACAATCTTATTAGCCGCATTTTGCTTTATATTCGCTTATGACAAAAACTTGAATACGAATATAGATAGTGAATATCACGTCGGATAGAGGTAAGCGAATGAACTATAACCCCAATATAAGTTACAGAAGGACTTTATTTGGACGACTTTAGGACGTTTTCAAAATGGCATCTTCGGATAGTCTCAGAAATGTCTTTTAAACGTCCATTATTAGCCGCCGACATCATAGACCATAAATGACTAAAACTAGACGTTATTATGTCGTCTTTTGATGTCACTTTGCTACTTGGAAAAAGACTCAGGTCCGATTCCCAATTCAGCAACTTCGCCCCGATACTTTTTACTCTATATTTTTTTAGTACAAGGGTATAGGGTATTAAAAATAAATTTCAGACTGAGATTATTTTAAGCACTTGGTAGCGCATCAAGAAAATTTTGTGCCCTATATGTACAATTAGTTTCCAGGGAAAAATTAATTTTCTTTAAAACTTAGGCACTACTAGGCTGCGTTCGGAAACATCACCCGTGTGCGCACGAGTATCGTTCTATCTTTGTTCAACTTTTAGTAAATAACAAAGATAGAACGATACTCGTGCGCACACGAGTGATGTTTCCGAACACAGCCCTATTGACGTCTTGCTTTATTGGCCCGTGAAATCTAAACCTTTATTATCTCAGACACCAACGAGATACTGTTAAAAATGGCCAGCCTAGGGCAAATTTTTGTCACGATCAAGTAAGCTCGATCTATAATTTAGAGATAATTGAAAATTGATGATATTACCGATCGCTTTGACTGCATGGAGATAATTATACGAGTTATTTTAATCATGCAAATATTTTAGTGCATGTAGCTATTGTTTTATTATCGAAAATGTATAGATCTTTCATATAGCTGTCTCAAAAATAATAAAATAAATGTTTTATTGTACTTTGCTTTATTACCGACAATGCAAAGATTTACTTAGCTACAGCAGTGTGCAGCAAGTTTTTTTCAATCTACGCTAATTTTCATAAGAATAAGACCATTTAACAGTACCTTGTCATTATCTCATTGTCAGAAGGTACTTGGTTCGTTCATGTCAAAACCGGAATTTAATTTTTAGACAGGTAAAGAGACAAAATTATGATATGTAAAAAACATTTGTTTTTCAACGTGATCACCATTTACATCACAGCATTTTTGCTTTCAACGTAATGCGTTAATACGGTTAGAATAGAAGGAATTGTTCTGACGTCTGAACCATTGTAATACACACTGTAACACACACCTCCCAGAAAACCAAGAAAAAACTGCAAATATTCAGATTCCCATCTGTTTGGTCCCTTGAAGGAACAAGGGCAGCAGATGCTTTCAGCCAGAAGATGTGCTTAAAACGTGTGTTTTACAGTGGTTCAGACATCAGGACAAATCCTTCTATTCTGCCAGTATTAACGCATTGATACGTCGATGGTAAAAATGCTGTGATGTAAATAGAGATTATACGTTGAAAAATAAATGTTCTTTACTGTTCATAATTTTGTCTTTTTATATATCTAAAAATTAAATTCCGGTTTTGATGTAAACGACATAATAAATCAATAATTATGAAAAATCAATTTAAATATTATTAAATACTTTTTAAATATTCTTCTGATCAATAATATGTATATATCTTATATTTTAAAACATATTATTAAAAATTTTGGTCAAATTACTTCAACTTTTTTTTATGCGATTTAATTTTTGAGTCACTTGTCATGATCAAACTACCTAAAGTTATATACTTACTTGCATAATAGTATACCTGTGCCTAATGATATATATTGAAAGAAAGAAGGGGGAGAGAGAAAGAGAGAGAGAGAGACTTAACAGCCTTACTTAAAATTTTCATTTTTACAGAGTGCTAAGATATGTGCAGCGTTTTATGAATGCCATTGGTACAATATGCCAATGGAAAATGCACGAATGATAATACTATGCATGGCAAGATCGCAAAAACCGCTTTGTTTAACAGCTGGCAAATTTACTATATTTTGTCTCAGCACTTTAACTGACGTAAGACAAGAATTCATAAGAGCAATAAAATTTTCAAAATATTTTTAATAAATTATACTACAAAAAAATTGAAAAATTAAGAGAAACTATCTTTTTCTTTAAAAAAGAAAAGAATAGGATGGATGGGATTAAGATCCCAAATTAGCCCCAAAATATCATTGTTTCTTAAATATACGGAATCGATTTTTTTCATATCTTACAAAATAAATATAAAAGATATGGAGTCTTATGAAATAAAAAATATTTTTATTTCAATAACATTCATTAAGAAATATACCCTGAACTTAGGTCTAACCGTCAAAAATCAAGAAAAATCATATTTTTTTAGCATTTGATCGCAATTTTTTCATAGAACGCGCCTATGTACCACAACAATTTTTACGCACACATATATATAGGGTGTCCCTAAAATGGCGATAAATATTTTAATGACAAATTCTTTGTAACATTTTAAGACAAAAATTCAAATATAAAAATGTCAAGGCTACAGTAGTTTTCAAAAGGGACAAGTTTAAAAATCATGAATGACAGGGTTAAAATTTCGCGCGCTCAGGGATGGAAAAATGACCAGTGATGAAGCTTTCCATGAACCAAATGCTTGACAATAGTGAAATTATTGTAAAAATATTCAAGAGTTTCATTAAGAATCTATTTCTGTTTATCCGTAATTAATTATAAGAACAGTTTAAATTGTTTTTATTCAATAGTTTAATATACCGATATTGATATATGTGTCAGTTCTCATAAATATGACAGCTAAATAGCTGTCTTCACAATGAGATTGGTCGATAAAAACATTTTTTGTTCCAACTTGAGATTGAATATGTTTGTTATTTCGCCGTACCTGAACGCGCGAAATCTCAGCCCTGTCATTCGTAAAATATAATCGCTTCCCGTTTAAAAACTATTATAGCCTCGACATTTTTGTATTAGGATTTTTGTCTTGAAATGTTCTAAGGAATCTGCCATTAAGAGGAAGTCCGTTATTTTTAGGACACCCTGTATAATTGCAAAATGGTAAAGAACTTTTCTGCACGCTCGTGAGCAGGTAGAGCACAGTAAACTGTTTGGCCTCGCGCGTACCCCGACTCTCGTCGCGAGGCCATACTTTTTGTTGCCGCGTGACTCTGCGAAGCTCGCCGCTGGCAGCTGGCATGCCTACAGCATACGTCTCACAGTCTAGCTGCGCGAGACGCGCACTCATTCGCCAATTCTTTTTGATTAATATTTCAATAATTATTGCAAAAATTGCAAAATAGTAAAGGACTTTTCAGTTTACTATCCGCTCACGAGTGTTGTTTAGCGTGCTTTGGGACACCTTGTATATATATAAAGAATATCTGTATCAGCCTATACATATATGTTTTATTAATTTAACATTTCATTAATTTTATAGGTTTTGAAAACAGCAATGGGCTATTTATCAGTACTGCGTTCCTTTTTGTAACATCATCAAAATAAGTAGCAATTTCAGAGAAGTACGTAAGAGTAATCTATATATTAATTATGCTTAAGAATAGAGATAAATGTACAATTTACTGTCAAACAAGATAAAAGAAAAGTTATATTACTATCTGAAAGTCGAATATTTTCTTTATATATTATATAAGATAAAAAAATTCATTATTTTAAAACAAATATAAAAGCAAAAGAATTAGTTATTTATAATTATATTTATTTTTTTATTTATTTATTTATGATTAATATAAATTATTTATTTAGAAAGCACTAGTTGCATGTCGCACATAAAACAAGATTTGTGCACGAACTGCATTTGTGTACGAACTTGTATATGAACAGCATGATCGTTTAACTATAGATACGACTTTAAAAGAAATTAAGCTTACAATATCAGTTTATGTAACAAGATAATATATTATTGTGTTGTAGATTTTCTTTTTTTATTTTAATATTAATAAGATAATGATTGTACATTTTTAACTTATTTTTACAAAATATTAACAAAGCACTTAAGTAGCATCTTTACCGTCGTCACGCTACATGTACATAACACACACATATAAAAATTGTGTACGGTTGCTCCTTTCGACAGAAGATTGCACTCTGACAAAGAAACATATTCACAATTGCGCAATTATATATTGCAATATAATAAAATATATAAAATTTATTATAACAGCGCAAAGTTTCATTACATTAAATTTATTGCTAACTCTTAATTAGTAAAAATTGTCTCCTTTCGACAGAAGATTGCACTCTGACAAAGAAACATATTCACAATTGCGCAATTATATATTGCAATATAATAAAATAAATAAAATATATTATAACAGCGCAAAGTTTCATTACATTAAATTTATTGCTAACTCTTAATTA